GGGCTTCCACGGTTTTCAATGATGATTCGAAAGCTGACGATTTTTCTAAGCTCATGCAGTCATTTGTGGACATGTGAAGGTGATGGTAACTGCATGTCACCGTCTAGTTTAGAGTTCAGAATACAACGACGAATAGCTGAGATTTCATGATGGTAAATGCCGATTGGGTAAGAAGGAGTTGTGGAAACTTGAAGTGTGGTACGGAAATCAAAACATGCATCTTTCTGCTTTAACTATTCCAGTAAGCCTGTTGTGATCGAAATATGCTAGATCAAAAGATTTTCCGATGTCATATGCAAGTTTGGGTCTGAATGACTGGTTACATTTGGTATCCATCTTAGTTTTGTTGATAATTTATATACCAAATTATTAATATTGTAAGATCCAACTGTTCTAGGCTTTATCCTAATTTATACGATATGAATCGGTTAGCATACGCATTGACTCGTGCACATTTGTTCCTCTAGTCGCGAGACACATGATCAGTGTGTGGGGCATCTTAAATGCACTAAACCTGTAATTTGGCTAGGTTATGTTTCAAAATAGTTAGTTTTAATTATATTGTATACCTCGACGCATGGACCGAATCTATGCTGATTCAATGATGGTTATTATATTAAGAGTTTTAAGTATCGTGAATAAACCAATATTACTCTGCCTTTTGCCGTAAAGTACTTGAGGGAATGGCACAAACTGACTTGCTTGCCTATCTTCATCTAGAAAGTGATACATTATCCAATTTGCTCAAACATTCGAATTTGCCCACATATACTACTAACTAGTGCACCATTCTAGCATCTTGCTTACATCTGAGGTCATCGTTCAGACGGTTGTTCGCTTCAGGGAATGCTGTTTGGAGCCATGGTAGGACATCCAATAACCTCGTCAATGATCATCAAAATCAATATCAATAACGGCCACATGATCAGGTTGGTTGGTTTGTGGCCAAATGATAAAATGAATATAATTAATGGAATAATGTATTCAATACGTCTTTCTCTCTCTACGAATCAATTAAAAACTTGTGAATGCATACTTTGTGAACGAGGTGCTTCATCAGGAAAAATATCAGTAGAAATTTCAATCAACACACAACCATGAAGAAGGCCGCCTACCCATAAGGGGAAACAACGTAACCGATGTGTTAAATAAGTTAAATGACAAGGCAATCAAAACTAGAGAACTCAGCACGGAACCCCGCGCTTTGTTCACACCTTGACCAGTTTTCCTCAAGAACCCGAAAGACAGAATATCCGGGAAGGGAAGAAAATTGAGTTATTCATCTGATATTCCATGAACTGAAATGACGAAAGAGACTTTGTACACATTATAATAATGTAGTTGTCTACTCAGTTGCATTCCACAAAACATTCTTCAGGCCATACCTTTGAAGCTTGTGAATAAATTCTGATTTTTGAGTCGATATTGATCGATTCATCTTTCAGTGAGTTAGCCAAGTTGGCCATTTCTCCTCCATTTCTATCAGTTTGATGATGAACGATCTCATCTATTACGGAACAAAATAGTCCCTCGGGCCTGACAGCATCACAATCAAAATAGAATCACACAGGTTTTATGAAGGGCTATAAAAATGAACTGAAAAATTGTACATGAGCCCGGAAAGACTGGAAGTGTTCGTTTTTATTAAAGAAGGAAGGATGTGAAGATGAAGACTACAATGATGTCGATGATGTTCATGAAAACGATGATGATGTTGATGATGATGATCATGAAGATGATGACGAAAAGGTTGTCGACGATGTTGATGATGACGACGATGGTGATGATGGTGATGATGATGGTGATGATGATGATGATGATGATGATGATGATGATGATGATGTTGATGATGATGATGATGATGATGACAATGATGAAAATGATGATGATTTTGATGATTATGATTGAGATGATGACGAATTTGATAGTGTTTATAATGAACATGACGATGGATTTTTGATTTTGTTGATGAAGATTATGATGAAAATAATAACGATGATGATGTTGACGATGATGATGACGATTATGATAATAACGATCATGACGATCATGACGAAGATGAAGATGTTGACGGTGACGAAGATGATGATGATGATGATGTTGAGGATGCAGCCAAAACGGAGATGACGATGTTGAAGATGATGCTGATGATTATGATGAAGATTATGATGAATTTGATGGTGTTGATGATGATCATGACGATGGCTTCCGTGAAGATGTTGACGATGATGATGGAGATAATGAGCAATATGAAGAAAATCATGATGATGACGATGATGATGATGATGACGATGATGATGTAAATTAATATGATGAAGATGATGATGAGGAGGAGGATGACGATTGTAACGTTGGTGATATTGCTGACACTGATGATGATGACAATGATCTTGATGATGATGTTGGTGAAATGATGATGATGGTGATGAAACGGATGATGAACCTAATGATTTCGATCATGATGATAATGATGATAATGATGATGATGATGTTGAGGGTGATGATATTGATTATGACGTTGTTGATGATGAAAATGAAATGGTTGAAGATGATGATGATAAATTTGATGTTCATGTTGATGATGTTCTTGATGTTGATTAAAATGATGTTAATGGTGGTGATGATGTTGATGATGATGTTGATAATGATGATGATTAAATAGGTGATGATGATGCTGTTGACGATAATGGTGATGGTGTAGATGATTTTCATATTGAAGAAGTTCATAATGTCGATGAGTGTGATGACGATGAAGATGAAGATCGTGATGATTATGATGATGAAGACGATGGAGATGATGATATTGATGCTCAAGATTATGATGATGATTGTAAAGATGATGATTGAGACGAAGATGATTAAATGTTGATGATGAATTTAATGTTCATGACGAGGGTGTTGAAGATGTTTAGAAAAAGGATGAAGATCATGAAGACGACGATGATGATGATGACGAAGATGATGATGTTGATGATGATGACGAAAAAGATTTTGAATTTGATGATGATGTTTATGACGATCATGGTGTTGATGTTGATGGTGATGTTGTTGATGATGATGATGATGATGTTGGTGAAATGTTGATGATGGTGATGAAACTGATGATGAACCTAATGATTTCGATCATGATGATAATGATGATGATGAAGAAGATTCGGATTATGATGTTGATGATCATGATTATTTTGAAGATGATAACAATGAATTCGATGTTGATGATGACGATGATGTTGATGATGGTGATGGTGTAGATGATGTTCATAATGAAGAAGTTCATAATGTCGATGAGGGTGATGACGATGATGATAAAGATCGTGATGATTGTGATGATGAAGATGATGGAGATGGTGATGATGAGGACGATGATGATTGGGATGCTGTTTATGTTGACGTTGACGATGACATTGGTGCTCGCGATGATGATGATGTATCTGACGTTGATGATGATGATTACGATTACTTTGGTGGTGATGATGATGATAATGATGATGATGACGATGATGATATTGATGCTCAAGATTATGATGATTATTGCGAAGATGATGATTGAGACGAAGATGAATAAATGTTGATGATGAATTTAATGTTCATGACGAGGATGTTGAAGATGTTTAGAAAAAGGATGAAGATCATGAAGACGACGATGATGATGATGATGAAGATGATGATGTTGATGATGATGATGATGTTGATGATAATGATAATGATGTTCAGGAAGTTGATGATGATATGAGGATGATGACGATGATGATCATGATGAAATTGATCATGATGATGAAGATGATGATCATGCTGCTGCTGCTGATGTTGATGATGATGATGATGATAATGACGATGATGATGAAAATGTTGATGGTGCAGAAGATGAAGCTGATGGTGGTTTTCTAATTGATGATGATGATGATGATGATGATGCTGCCGATGATGATGATGAAGATGAAGTCTACGATGATGTCGATGTTGTTGATGAAGATGATGTTGATGATGATGAAAAGAATATCGACGATGCTGATAATGACGATGATGGTCGTGACAATGACGAAGTATAAGAACAAAGAAAAGATGACGACGATGATGATGATGATGATGATGATGATGATGATGGTGATGATGATGATGATGTTGATTATGATGAGGAAAAAGATTTTGAAATTGATGGAGATGCTTATGACGATCATGATGTTGACGTGGATGATGATGTTGATGATGATGATGATGATGACGTTGATGAAATGATGATGATGGTGATGAAATTGATGAACCTAATGATTTCGATCATGATGATAATGATGATGATGAAGAAGATTCGGATTATGATGTTGATGATCATGATTATTTTGAAGATGATAACAATGAATTCGATGTTGATGATGATGGTGATGATGATGATGATGATAATGTTGTTGATGCTAATGATGATGATGATGAGGATAATGATGAAAATAATTATTACGGTTGTTATGATGGTGATGATGATTTTGAAGTTGTTGAAGAAGTTGATGATATTGATGGTGATGATTTTGATGATGACGAGGATTTTGGTGGTGATGATGGTGATACTTTCGATGTTGGAGATGTCAATGTTGGAGATGATTTCTGTGATAACAATGACGATGGGGAAGATGATGTTGAATATGATGATGAGGCTGATGATGATGATGATGACGATGATAATGGTGATGTTGACGGTGATGTTCATAACGATTATGATGATCTTTACGATGACGTTGATGATGATGATGATGATGATGATGATGATGATGATGATGAAGATGATGATTATGATGACGATGATGATGATAACGCTGATGTTGTTGATAATGTTGATGAAGTTGTTGATGAGTTTGATGTTGTTGATGATGCTGATGACGATTATTTTGGTGTTGATGATGATGCTGATATTGATGATGACGCTGATGATGTTTTTTGTGATGGTATTGATTAATATGTTGTTCTTGATGTCGATGAACTTAGTGATGCTGATGATGATTATGACGATGATGCTGACGTTTAAAATCGATGAAACTCTTTATGATAGTGAATTTGATTTTGATGTTGATGAGGTACATGAAAACTATGATGTTCACAATGATGATGATGACGACGAAGATGATGAAGGTGGTATTGATGATGATGACGATGACGTTCAATTTGATGATGATGATGATGGTGATGATGATGATGATGATGATGATGATGATGATGATGATGACGATGATGATGATGATGATGATGATGATGATGATGATGATGATGATGATGATGATGATGATGATGATGATGATGATGATGATGATGATGATGATGATGATGATGATGATGATGTTAATGGTGATGTCGACGATTATGATGATGATAATGAATATGATGATTATGTTAATGATGATGATGATGATCCGAATGAAGCAGATAAAATTTTGAATGACGATTATTTTGACGATGATTAGGCTTTTGCTTATTTAAATACTGACGGTGATGGTGAATATGTTAAGCCAACTGGACACGGTATTGATAATGAATACGACGATTCAGTCCATGATGATGATTATGAATATTCGGGTGATGATTAGGATCCGAATAACGATGATGAACATGATGATGATAGCGATGGTGTTGATGCTTCGGATGTTAACGGTGATGAATATAATGGTGATGATGATAATGATGACGGTGATGGTAATGACGATGACGATGTTGTTGATGATGATGAAGATGATGGTGATTATGATGATAATGATAGGGATTATGTTGGTGATGATAACGTAAAGGATGATGGTGAATATTATAATGGAAACATTTATTTACATGATGATGATTCGGTCGATGATGATGATGATAATCCGATTGAAGAATAAGATGAAAATTGTGATGATCCGAATGATGATGATGATGATGATGATGATGATGACGACGACGATGATGAAGATGAATATGGTAATGATTATGTGGTTGCATTTAAGACGATGATCTGGATGATTCGATTGTAGATGATGATAATAATGACTACGACAACTGGGTTGATGGTGATGATTATGTTAGGAAAGAACAAGGTAATGATGAATATGACGATGATGATGATGATGATGATGATGATGATAATGATGATGATAATTATGATATCGATCAATCTGAAGATTACGATGATGATGATTCTTCTCCTTCTGATGATAATGACGACCATAACCACTTGGGTGTTCTTTCGGACGAGGATGATGATGGCGATGTTGATTATTCGGATGATGATTTGGACGATGATGATTAGAGTGTCGAAGATGATGAAGTTGATTTAGATGATGACTGCGATGTTGTTGATGACCATTCCGTTGAAAATGATTTTGATGATTATTCGGATGTTGCCGATGTTGTCTATGATTCGGATGATGATTTTACCCATGGCGGTGACGATGATCTTGTTTGTGGTTTGCAGCTTCTGCGTTGAAAGGTACGGTTTTTTTCGTTGAATAATTTCCGCAGGAATATTGGAGGGCGCCTTCGGAAAATATTTTTCTTTTCCTAGTCGAACATTTTAGCTTTAGCATGAACCAACTGAAGTTTCATGTTTCCGATTGATTATGAGATTTTCCATCTGAAATTTTTCCCACCTAGTGAAGAAAGAAATTGAGGTTGCCATAGAAAAGATGTATCAGTCAGTGTGTTGTGTTGTTGCAGGTAGAAAAAAAGTAATACCTTTATAGCTCCTTTGAAAACAATGCTGAGCTACGTTGCTCGTGTGTGTGTGTGTATGTGTATCTGTATGTATGTATGTATGTATGTATGTATGTATGTATGTATGTATGTATGTATGTATGTATGTATGTATGTATGTATGTATGTATGTATGTATGTATGTGTGTATGTATGTATGTATGTATGTATGTATGTATGTATGTATGTATGTATGTATGTATGTATGTATGTATGTATGTATGTATGTATGTATGTATGTATGTATGTATGTAAGTATGTATGTATGTATGTATGTATGTATGTATGTATGTATGTATGTATGTGTGTATGTAGGTATGAATGTATGTATGTATCTATGTATGTATGTATGTGTGTGTGTGATTCTGCCAACACTTAACACTGACACTCTTAAAGTTATGTTTTAGCAAGCACTTTAAAACTTACCTTCCCCATACAGTTTTGTTTTTGTGGGTCATTGTAGTTAACTGTGAGGGGCATTTGGTTCAGTGCACACCGGGTGATGATGAAGCACAGCACTGCGTTATAGACCATCTCGAGTAGTTGTACCCAGCGTCCATAAATTTCACTGAATACGTTTATGGGCATGCATATATTTTGTTAATCATGCGTTCGGAGATTGAGGCTGTTGCAAAAGACATGCAATTACTGATGCTAAAATTCTAATCAGGTTCACGGAAATTCACCCATTTTGTGATTTTAATCACATGATTGATTAGAAATCGGGTGACTTGCCCTCAAAGGTCCATCAATTTTATCAAGAATTAGTGACGATCTTAGGTGGCCGTTTGACAGTTTTGTCCACCAATAACGCCTCGGCTGTAGTTGCCAAGAAAAAGAGCACAATCCGACCTTGTTGGACATAGTTGAGAACAAGCAGATCTCATTATCATTGCTAGACAACCCATTCTACGTAGGAGCATTGCCATTGAAACAAGACTTATTTTGCATTACACACATTGGAATGACAATAAAATTCCTACAAATCGGGTTTCCCTTGCTTTCGTCTCAAGCGATCTGTCTCTTGCGCATTGCTGTTTGCATTGTGAACATGGAAGAAAAGCAATAAAGTTCTAAATATATTTAGATTATTGTGTATGAGGGAAGTGTTGCTGGAAATTCTGCTGCACACAAAATCTAAGCCACTAGTAACTATCTACATGTCGTGGGGCATGCTGCAGTTCAAATTCTTGCCGTTCGGTTTGCACATATCATCCGGGATATTACAGGCTGCAGTTGACGAGTTGATGCATGGTATCGATGGGGCGATAGCCTTTCAGAATGATGTGCTGATTTTTGGATTCACAAATGACGAAAATGAAGACCGACTGCGACAGATCCTTGATGGGTTCGTGGGACGAAAATCATCGATCAATGCCACAACTGCAAATTCGGTGTCACTGTATTAGAATTCCTCGATCTCACTTGTAATGCAAACGGATACCGACCTGATCCAAATCGTTTACCACCCCTGATTAAAATCGAGTCACCTACATTCTAGGCACACATGCGATCTATACTTTGACGCCTGTAGTACCATTCCGGATTCATTCCTAACTTTGCTACAGGAGCCAAACCATCGTTTCTAGTTCAGTCATCCAATGTGTATCAGTGGGACGAGTAGTTTAAAACCCTATGTGGTTTTATTCAGAAGTTCGGAGACCGACAAATACTGGTCCCATTCACGTCATCTAAGCGGACCATGCTGATCACTGTCGAGTCAGAAACTGGGATAGAAGCAGTTATGGAACAGGGAGGGTGTCAAATCATCTGCATCTCCAGTCTTCTCAATACTACACAGAGTGGGTATTCTCAGACTTGGAAGGAAGTCTTGGCCGTTTTCTGGGCTGTAAGCCGACTAAATATTAACTGTTTGGACTGAAGTTTACGAATGTTATCGACCATCAAGCCTTTCACGTTTTATATAACCCAAACAGATCAGCTACCAAATCCATGGCTGCTATGAGTTAACAATGAAGCAATTACCGCAGATTTTAAATGGTGCGCTGTTGCTCCATAGAACTGAATCGACGTGTTCATAGTATGAATTAGGTCTTGTAGCTGTGTGCACTGACTTGTTTTCCGTCCCTTGAATATCCTTAGTTTCTCTCACTTCAAGAGAGAATCAATAAGTTCCAACTCATTTTTTGTGTTGATTGAGTTTCTTGAACAATGCTAGATTCTCAAGAACTCGCATGAGTATCTTGCGTCTGCTTAGTCCGGAATATGAATTTCATCCGGGGTGAAAGCCTGACTTCTTGATAGTCGCAGACGAATATCGGGGAAATGGATCGTGTTTCCTTGCAGCCAGTTTGTGTGTATGCACTCGCGAATCAACCACTCTCTAAGTATGACCAACATTTCATTTGTCACAGTCCTTGCATTTCACTTTTTATGTAACATTTATTCTTTCTTGGGTTTTGAGTTGCTCTTCTGGTCTTGATATGATTCTTCTCAGAATTTCTGTTGTTTCATGAACAACTGTGATGTCCCGTCATTGAAGCCTGTAGGTTCTTCGTGGTGATAGAATGTCATTGTTATCACCAGAGAATAATTCGGAATATTCATCTGTCATAGTGGTAAGATGTTGAACGATCTGCAGTTTGTCACATTTGAAAATTCAATGACATAAGGGTTCTAAGTACATAATATAATGATGGAGCCCTGTACAACTGGTTCCGCGGGCTTGTCATGTTTCATCGGCTGCGGTACACATGCTCCAAATCCCAACTGGAAACAAAACGCAATATAAACGATTGTGAATCGAACGCATTTTCACTAATCCATTCGAGTAGGCATTCGAAACCGTTTGCCTAACAATAATACTACAATGTTCATTGTCGATCAGCGATCAACAAGTATTGAAGATGAAAATTTAGTTGATTCGTGGTGTAGGATACAAAACTGAAATCAAATGATACTACTGTCTTGGCCCATTTAATTAATCGAACCCTTTGGTAGCATTAACCATTCTTTCCTCGGTTTTCTTGCCTAAATATGTGAAGTGCATTTAGGAAGGTCGTGTTCACCTCAGTTCAGTTTAAGCAACTAATAATGATTACCTGAATACCACGGTTCCAATTTCTACTTCTCACGAAAATCGATAGCGAATGTTAGCATGAAGTGAATGGCAGCAGTTTGTTGATTGAAGTACTTTAGTGATCGACACAAATTTTGACCGTTAGATCTTTCAATGTCACTAGTTACTTATTGTATATATATATACTGGACCCCACATAAAAAGCCTACCACGCCATATCCGGCACAGTTTCACATCTTTCTTTTATTTTGCATACGGGCAACCGTAACTTATCCTTCAATCAGGACCCACCTCAGTGAGCACTAAGCATCTAGGAAATATCTTCAAGGAATCGTAGCATGAAGATCTCAAATTATTCAACTCTCAGCTCGTCCCCGATATCGAGTGCTCAAAGTATGATCTGAAAACAGATGAACCTATGCTCCCTGCAGGTTCTGGAAATATTCCGAGGAAACCGATGTCCAAATGCCGATTATCTGTGTGTATCTTTTGACCATAGTGGCCAATTTGTTGGGTAGTGCAGATGAATTGGTTTGGCTCTGTCAGTATAAACTCGGACTTGCGTGGGTGAGAGGATGTCTCATGAACACTGCAAAAGACCGTGAGCAGCTGAAGTCATCCACTCAGTTCATCCTAAAATTACCATAAAACGTTCGCTTTTATGCTTTCTTCATATACATCTGTCTCACACCCTACATGAATGTGTGTTCAAGGTACCGAGTTATGGAACAGTTTTTCCCCGACAGGCTTTATCGAACTAAAGTGTTTGACGCACCTGATTTTCTGAGATCCTAGTCGACAATCATTTTTTTCTCACTATCTGTAACATTGAAAACATTTGCATAATTATTAGGGATTTATTTTTGTGAGATGAAAGATCCATCATCTTGCAGAAATAATAGGTACTCATGTATTATGACTAAAAACTCCCATTACTGTTTTAGTCCAGAATTCTTTGAGAATTAAAAGTTCTTTCATGCGACTGTCACCGCGATACCCAGTACACTCACAATTTGATATAAGCTCATTTCGTTGGATAAAACTGCACAAGGTTTTCAGTAATTGAGACTCTAATGCGCATCATTTGTCTCATGTAGTTCTGAGTTTCTGATGAGCCCGTTAGTCTGTCATAATAATGTATTCTTATTTCGTAGATAGGTTTCTCCCTACTAATGGTCATTTTGTATAAGCCGTTTTGCTTCATCTCTGCTGACATTATTCTTACATTTCGATTAGCCACGTTCTGAAAGTGACTGATGCGGGCAATTAATCCAAATTGCTGCGCATGATGATATACTGAGAGATAAGCACCTGTCCAACGATAGTGGCTGAGTCCAGAAAGTGACGTGCAGAGACTTACCGCCTGTTCCAAAAGACCAACGTCTACTTTGGGAGGAAATGAGTTTTGCTAAAACCTATCTGTTTCTCTTTCGCTGTATCTGCTGCACTAATAAAAGCTCTTAACATAGAGAACGGATCATTCGACACTGAAAATCCCGGACAGTAGAACCAGTGCTCCGGAGCTCGAGAGAAATATGAATTTTCAAGTAAGTTGACAAGCTTTCGAAATTTAGAGAGTGGGGAAATTCTCGTACGCGAAGTTTGACCTATATGCCTAGGAGTTTTAAAAAATTATAGCACTATTAGAGCATTGATTTGAATTATTTCTCATCGATGGTTATTCATATGCACGAATACTCTAGAATGCCGGCCCTTCGAAGTTACCAACCAGCATTATTGGAATGTTTTCTTTCTCTTGTTAGACGTATAAACTAGAATATTATTACTCAGCGGCTTATTGACTGATCATAAAATTTGTATCCATTGTTTATCGTGTAAGGATAAACTAAAGCGGATATTGTTATTCTTTCGAGTTGATCGGTCAATGGTGATATTATTGCTTGCATGGGTAACACGGTGGGGACGACGCGTTTTTGAGATAAGGTGGGGAAGTGCCCTAAATTGTTGATAAACGCTTAACGAAACCCCACTAACTAGCAAATGGATGACAACATTAGAGACTCAGTTAATTCAAAGATCTAGAAATTCTGTGCTGTGCCTCTCGAGATGACCATCGGAGATTCTACGCTGATGGCCGCATTCAGCTGGTTCAGATGGAAACATGCCTTCAACACCGGTGAACTGATATATTGAACAATCATCAGAAAAATGGGAAGAATATCATCACGCCCTTGAGAAGACAGCGGACAACCTATTTGGGTACCCTTGGATGGTAGTCGTACAGCAGAATTATTAGACAACCTATCTGTAAAATAATCCAAGCAAATTATGCTACCGTGTATAAGTGCTGTTAAATCAATAAGCATTTTACAATAAATTAGAAATCTATGGACAGCAGTTTTACTCGGGTTGTGAATGGAGAAAGATCAGCATTGCGTACAAGTTGAGACTGGACAGAGAGTTGAACATGGAATGCAAACTGTGAATTTCTATCATCTACGTACACTTGGTAATAAGTCTTATGAAGAATTCGTTTGATTGAGGATATTTCTTATGCAACAGAAACTAGTGGTGAGTTAAATGGAAAACTAACTAGGGATTGGTTTAGAGGGTAAAGAAAAACAGATTTGGGAATGTCACTGAAAAGATTTAGGAGAACCTGCCTAATGTTTGCAATAGTGGATTAGAAAACTCTGTTCAGGCTGGACATGGATGAATCGTGAAAAATTACAGATCTGAATGGAAGGGGCTTTCTGAAGAGTATATACAATAAAGGCCAGTGGGAGCATTCACGGGGAAATGCATAAGCCTATGGACGACATCGCTTTTTGATTTATTTGGCGACTTATACGAAAACGATAAGACGAGTTCTGACACATTTGGGATATCATAAGTTGCATGACATTCTTCTTATCTGTCTTGTGCATCTATGTGACAGATTCATGTCGAGTATTTTTAGTCAATAATGCTTTTAAGTAGTTCGTTGTGCAGAAGTAACGTTCAACTCACCGCAGAAGGTCCTTGGAGGCATAGTACACGTACTTCATTTTTGTTCTTTGGCTGCGCACACTCTCCGATTATCGGCTGATTATCGAACCCAGTCTGCGATCGGGATTATGGGTATTACATCTGTTGTGTCGTTGAGCAGTCTAGGTGGGTGCCCAATGAGAAGTGAATTTCCCCCATTCAGCCACCGATTATGATCGCTAACAAATCTCATGCATACACACAGATATTTATAAAAGCAGGTTTTCCTTTCCTCTGGTTACTTTGATTTCACCGTGAGAAAGTATTTCAGTAAGGAGGATTCAGTCAGAAAGTCCGTGGTGAGATTCCAAACCAAGTCTTCGACCGTTTCACACACAAAATTGACCATCCTCTTATCGCATAGATATGTGAGATACCAAAAATTCATTCTAATAAATAACCAACTATATAAAGATTGACTGTTAACCTAGCATTCTCACTTCTTATTTACTTTTACATTATATTCTTCCCGTTAGATGCCAGACTCGTTTCAGAACACTGAGAAAAGTCTTAACAGTATTGTCACAAGTCAAAACCGTTTCAATTATTCAAAGTTCCTTCGATATTCATGTGCATGTTTCGCCAATTCGTAATGACCGACACACAGCAGTACAAAGACCCCGCATGCTGTTTATCTACCAAACAAAATAACCCAAAAACATCTGAACACATCCTGCCATCCAGTGTTGTCTATTGTTTCCATCGGCCTCTCGGAGATTCACTACAACTCCTAATCTAAATCATTGTGTTTGCTATCTCATCCATAGCATTCCATTTGGGATTAACCAGCGGTCATGAACGTATTTTGATTTTGGCTATCAAGTTAGTCATTGTGATATGGTGCTGTTGGTAAAGATTTAGATCAGAATGATAGAAAATATTAGTTCACTTTTCATCTTCGCTGATCACTTCTTTTTATCCCAATTCTATCAGCAATCTCCCAGTTGTGATACCACATCAATGGATAGTACGGACACGTCGTCCGAAGAAACGCGTCGTCTCTCTTTTGTCAATCCATCAATATATTCACGATCTAGGGCACCTAGATCGAAGATCACAGAGACTGTGGATATCCTTCCAGATGAGTTAAGACGTTGGCGCACTCGGGACATGCTGACCAACTTGGTGCAAAATCTTCAATTCAGAATTAATGGACTAGATACTACTGAATCACCTAATGGAACTGGTGACTCACGTGAGGCGACACATCATTTGCATATCCCAGATTATCATCATTTCTGGTCTCGTCAAACTGCGGAATTGGATTATGAAGAGCGATTGAGTTTGGGACGTGCATTTCAGGTGGGTTTTGGGGGAGAATCGGCGAATGCCAATCATTTCAAAATTGTTCGAAACCCATGGTCAAATTTTCCCCTTCTAAACTTGATTTCCTCGTTACACTTTGGTCAAATTTTTATTTTATCTGATATCATGATGTTTTATATCAGGTGTACTCAATTAGTTGAATGTCGAGGCCACACTGGGGTATTCTGACGCTTCGCAAAATGAATCACATTCATCACCAACCCAAACTGCATTGATCTACAGCATCCATTAAAGGGAGATTTTAACTTCATTGCCAGCGAAAAGATTCCAGTATGCACCAACCACAGTCCATCAGGTGGATAGATAAACGGACACAGTTAGTTTTAGAATGTCAGTAAAGGAAATTTGTCAATGGTTGGATTGGCCAAATTGTGAAAATTTCAACTGAGCTGGTAGAGTGCACGCTATGCTATAGTGTGGCTGGTCTCGAAGCCCCAGTTCATGGAGGTTGATGACTTCAGCATTTGTGTTAATTCAGACCATGTTGAATCTTCTGAAACAAAGTTCAAAAATCCAACTGTGTTGATTGCTATCATATCAGTGGTTAGGTTCGGGCCAATGAAAGACAGGCGCAATTCAACCCAGCAGCCCAGGGTCTGCATCCAAATGAAGAAAGACGGCAGGTATACATCTCAAACGATAACTATCGAGTATGAAACAGTTCTTTATTGAAACTTCGATTTCCAGTTGTGAATTTGAGCTTTCATGTCTCATGATGTCTGATTGGTTCTTTCTGATTTCATACCAAATCCTGTGATGATTTTCTATTTTCTCGGTTGCTCAAGCAAAATTTTGATACTAATGCTGATTTCACATTAAAACAAAATGGTGCATTTGCTCACACTAACTTCCACGGTACTTATATTTGAATGGGAAAAGCGCACATATGGAGGAGGAAACTCGAAACATATTGAAAGTGCTATCATAAATCAGATGGAGCAAAATGTGACAAATAAACTTGTGTTCGCATCGCTCTTAAACCAACATCTCATTAAAAATTGTTATTTCGAGTAGAAAAGGGATCACGCATTCATTCCGGTCTTCTCTCCGTTGCTTTACCCGAAGTTAATTGTGTCCAATGAACTTGGTGAATTGTTCGATCTGGTACTGGACAGACCACGCATTGTGAATGCAAAAGAACCCAGTGGACGTACGTTACTCCTCCATGCTGCAGACAAGGGAAGTTATGAGATGACGCGAATATTGCTATCCAGAGGTGCAGGTTCGTTGATGTTTTGTATTTCCGTTTTGCGTTCTAGTCCTAATGTCCGGCGCTGGTTAATCTTGATTGGGAAATTTTATCACTCGGGAAAGTGCTTTTGTGAAACCAACCTCGAGCGTTAGATGTTTCGTATGATATAATGAAGGTTGTTTCATGATTCGGTCAAAGTGTAATTGTATTTTGAAACTTCAGTGAGATAAAACATTTGCCGTGCGGAACAGCACTAGTATTGAGATCAATTTGTGGATTGTTTGAGGGGTTCAGTTATTGGTCATCAAATGGAGATAGATGTCCCAAGACCTTCTCAGTCTCAGGTCGGAAACTTTACAGACTCGTGTCAAAAAAGAACGAGTTAAATATTTCGGATCTCTCATTCGCCGTTCTACAACTCTCCCCCCACCCCCACTGGGCAGCCTCCATCTGGTCGTGGTCCAGTCCGAGAAATACCTACGTGCTGCCGTGAAATATTGTTTGATTTTAGTTGAATCTAAAATAGGCTTGTCTAATTCATTTATCATTTATTCGCCAGTTCAGTTGCACATGTAATTTTGAATTCAAATGGAGCAATATTTTTTCATAATGAATACTTTGTTCTTTATCTTTTTATATAACACCAAATTAAGGTTGAAAAAATAAACTTATGAATTAGTTGATAAATTTATGCTTCCTTTGCAATGCTATCCGAGCGTTTCGAATTGTATGACTTTGGTAGCCATAATAGATTAACCCAAAAACTGTAAGTTGAAATTTAATAAACTGAATAAAATTTTAAAACCATGGAGGCAAGATTCATCATGAGTAGTAGTTGCGATGAGTGACAGGCTCACAAGTCAAACACTGCTGGTTCATTTGTAACTCATGACTTTGAGATCAAAGTCATACAAGTGTCGTACGGTAAACGCCCGTTTTATATTGGCGAAGATTAGAGAATTTTCACTTAGAACCAGAAAATGTCACTAGCTCACTAAATTCAACAAGAGTGATATTCAAATAACGTATCACTCACTTGTCGCGAAAGAAATTGCTCAGAAACTTCCCATAAATGAGTGAACGCTTTTTGTTTTATTCACGTAAAACATGGTGTGAAAACAGGACGCCGTGGTCAAAACTCAAAACACACGATTTTACCAGTGAGTTTTAAAACTCATTAGGCCATTTGTTATGGGTTGCAATGCATCATAATCAACCTTGTTAGAGGAGTGTTATCCATGATAATGAACATAACAGAATTCATCGGACTCAAAATATAGATATTTCAAGTCTGTCAAATCAGTTGTTTCTGAGAAGACCACTTTGACGCCGGCCAATGAGTCGAATCATGCCTCACGTGAGTGTGATAATCATACAGTAGTGGACATGCCTTTAAGTTACCGAAACCATGGATATTTTGAAGGTTCACCTGTTACATTTGCCTCATAACGGTATTGGGAAATTTATGTGCACCTTAAACCAATGGAAGGGAATTGATGCATGTAATGCAGCACGGGGTGATCACAGTGTTCTGGTGGTTATTTAGCTGCGCTTCACAGTTTGTGGCCTTCACTAATGGCTATCATGGCTTTGCCCATAGGATTTGAACCTCGTTAACAAAGTGTTTATAAAGTGGTAAAAATCAAAGTTTTCAAGTGACAAAACATTTAGAGTTTCTCATTTTATTGATAGTGTATTGTCAAAATGAACTAATATGAGTCCACTTTCGAGAGAGAATTTTCAGTGGACGTTAGAGAATGATGTTCATCAGAGGGGAAATTGACAGAAGAATTGCTGCGAAATGCAGTATGGCTGGTAATGTAAAGTAAATGATATCAGCGCGTTTATTAATTGCGATTCCTCCGAGCACTTCAAATAAATCACCTCGACCTTCGACTAGGCGGTTATTGATTATGAACTTTAATTCGCTGGGGGCATCTCCTTTTGGATTGAAAAGGGCTGAATGTTGGTAGGTTGACAATCCATTGTCCAGACTTAAGCTTAGCCAAATTAGTTCGTCTATGGATCGGTATATTATCAAAATGAAGACTGCAATATTGTTTTGCTGGTCTCCTCACAATTTACTCGAACAGTGTTCAAGAAAATTGTGAGAAAGAGACCAAGTCAATCTGGAACGACATTCATAATCCAAGATTCCAATAATTGATATGCAAATCAAATGTTTAGGTTAGCTTCCTTACATGAAGGGAGTGATCGAAAGCAGGGCGTTGCCACTTTCAGTCGTCAATTTGTTCATTAACTATGTGGTGGGTGGGAACGCATGGACGGTCTTGCATGTGAATATGGGTGCACGTTAATCTTTTTTGTCCCAGTGCTTTATGAACTGCGTACATGCCCGCCGCACCATCTATGCCGTGAGCTGAAACTGGTCTTATTACGCTGGACCGGTGAGGATTGTCTAGTTAATGTGGTCCAACCACCACGACAAATGCAGCGTGAGAAATTTCACCAGGAATAGCTCACTAATGGCTTCGTGGTATGGATCTGAAGTGGTCAGAATGTGATCTAGTACCAAAATATTTTAGAATTGGGAAGATTTTGATTACCATCAAATGACACTTTGATTTTTATGTCTATATTTATGTGCTTATGTAAATGGTGATTTATTTGTCAAAAAGTCGATGCACTATCGACCAGGAAAATGTGCTCTTCCAATAGAAGAGACATGTCCCTCATATCTCTTAGCCACTGCAATGCTAAGGACAACCAGCAACCTAGTTCTCATGTTAGAGATGGAGAACCAAGTGAGATCATGATGGGTCCAGCATGATCAAGAATCGGGCGAAAATGGGATTACTGGGTTTACTGATCTATGGATTTTTCTTCATTAACCTCGGAGAGATTCGACTGATGGCTAGTCTGAACGGTAGATTAATATGCGATCACAGGGTAGCCCATTGAATTTGATGAAACACAAATCCATACGGAGCTTGGCATCAATCTTTCACCGAGTAGTTAGTGTGGTTCGTTGATGATAAAGCTTTAGACCACAGTATGGAAGACGTATCATAATGGATCCAATTGTTCACGCGATTATTCCAAGATCAATTCATTGATTTTTACATGACCATTGATTGAGAAATAAAACGGGTGTGAAAGAAAATGACAATGATAGTCATGACTACAAAGTAAGTTCGTCTGAAAAGACAAAAGATCTGTTTTAATTGGTTATTTGTTTGCAATCAATCAGTTGTGGATCGCAGTGCATTGAGGTGCAGAATGATGACTACGACCACTTGAATAAGTCAGTTACCTAATGTGGGGATAACATCTTCGATAAAATAGATTATTCAAACCCAAGTTGACAGGCAAATATTTTTGTTTCCGTGCACACACACACACACAGATCCGAATGCAGTGGACTGTGACGGGAACTGTGCTATTCACTTGGCCGTACGTCGGTGCAAAATAGATGTGGTCGAACTGTTGATTCAGCATGGGGCGAACATTATGTGCAGTAACAAACACGGTGTACGACCAATTCATCTTGCTTGTGAAACAAACTTCTTAGAAGGACTGAAGGTGAGTGAGCAGTCTTCTCAGCATGAATGAACGTGTTCGAGTTTCAGCGTGAACAGGTGATAATACTGATATTATAATCGACTTTTTTCTTGCGGAGACGTGAATGCAAACTTTGATGTGAAAAAGGCATTCATCCCTACAAGTTTCTTTAACTGATGAGTGGATGCATTTCGTAGTTCTGTCCAGTGCAGTCCTCAGCTCAGTCAACCCTACTGCTCTACTTGCAGGCCATGTTTACAACATTTTGATTGAGCCTGTTACACCGAAGAGATTTTTGTTCGCCTTAGGCATTCATGTATGTAGTAACCAGTAGATGAGATGATATGTGCAGCTGTAGATAGTAGTGGGCGATTAGGTGTGCAACGTATTCGATGAAGTGACAACAGGCGTCCTCCCAATGGTCCCTATATCCTTGATGTGAACGAAAGCACGTGTGGAATACCACTGTAATGCAGGAAAAGACATGTGTGAAAAATGACGGGAACAAGGATTGTCTTTATATGGGAACTATAGAGGCATTACTTGTTACGGCCAAGGCAACAACAACTGTTGCACCAAGTTCCGTTGTTTGCTCAGTTACGGATTTGGCTAGCGAATTGTCTTGCTTCTATCGTCATGACCAACCGCCTGTGTCATCCTTTGGTGTAAAATTCGGGGTTTATTAGCATTGGTTTGAGAGCCGTAATTGGTCGGATCGATCCGCTGTCTGCTATCAACTAGATGTTGTAGGACTGCACTGTTGATAGTGCATACTGTTTCCTTGTGAAGGGAATCCGTGCCGAGTTTTGAGATGCTTCTAGGCAGGTGAACTGTCGTATTTCCAGTGTACTGTACACTAAACGAGCACGTATAATAGTGTGGTAAAAAGGATTGGGACTGATCAGGTAACCTACCCTTGAACTGCTAAACAACAAACAGCCTGATATTTGTAAGGTATTGGATATGCGCAGCAATTAGACAGTTCCAGATGAATGTTTTTAAGTAGCTCTTAAAAGAAACGGAAATTAGCTTTTGAGTAGGTTACCGAAACAGAGGCACAAATCCACCATTATTCATAAGAATAACCCTGATTAACAGTAGCTCTTTCGATATATTCAACTCGGTTTTATGCTTTCCGTAGCAGGATATGTTTGTTAGTGTCCACATGTTGACGGTTATTACCCAACCCCGTTTGATCGCCTCACCGGACTCCGCCTCTGAGTTTCCTAATCCTCCAATAGGGGATGCGGATAACAGAGCAGATCTTATTCAGTGTAAGACGAAGGCAGCCCACTGAAAACAAAAATCGACTGTTTCATTCTTCATTTATTCAACCCGCACAGAACATACTCACCTGGACAAAAATGAGTGTCAATACGACCGATGATAGAGGCTCCACACCACTGCATTATTGCTGTATGTCAAATAGTTACGATTGTTTGAAACTATTGGTGAGTCTCATGTTTTTATTCTATCTGGCCAATTTGGCGTGCACAAATGTGTGCACAAACAATCAATTTTCGAATTCACACTGCAGTACATTTCATCTTCCTAGCATTTTCAAAAGCAAGCAACAGTTTACGCCCTAACCCGATAACTCACGATCAACAAAAAAAAAACATTCTGGTAAGCCATTATTCATGAAGTTGATCTAAATAGTTAATTTTTTACGGAACGTTTGTCCTGTCATTGACAAACTCATAGATTAATGGACTCTGAGTTCCAAGTCAGAAACACACAAATTCGCTTTATTACGTTCACTGCAGTATAATAAATCCAACAAAGATGACAATATAACTGTAGTTATGGGTAGACTGAGCACAATGTACAGACGTTCAACAGATACAGCAAGCCCATATAAGCGGATCGAGAGTAAATTCATCGTTCAAGAGAACTGGTTTAATTTCTAAACGATTTATCAGGTTGTAATAAGGTTGAACTTATTACTGAACGTCGTGGAAAGTCATGGAAACATTGCGAAGCTGTTTCATCCCTCCTGGAAATCATCATCAGTAAACATGCATTGGGCCTCCACGGTGTTTGTTGACCAGTAACAATCAAAACTTGTCGTAGGGGTAAGTGACAGGGTAGAACTTGTAGATAAGTTCACGCGGTTGGGGGAGGAGACCGACGGCATCCCAAACAAGCAGATGATGCAAGGGGTTGGCAAACAGGAGCAACGGCAGGATTAAGATCAACAATCGGTACAAGCAAAGATAAGGATAAATAGTGCATTGATTCGGCTGACATGGCAAGCAAAAGCCTATAAACGAGTGTGCCAGTGGGAGTGAGACAAGCAGATGGTGGTTCATCGTGTGAGTCACCGTGGTGAACGAAGATAGCCTCCATTGAACAGGTGATCCAGGCTTGAATAGGAAGAAACATATTCGGTTTTTGGTAACGTACCGGTTTCGGAAATGAAAATAATTGGTTGCCAAGTGGGTAACCGCGGGTAACCATTCTCAATATCGGTTCACAATCGACTGTAAACCGGTAGACGGTGACCACAGTTACGAATTGAATAATACTTCACCAGTTTTCAAAAGCTCAGAATAACGAGCCATGGTGACTTCATTGAGAACCCTCAGAGCAAAGAGGACAGAGCACAAGGTGGTCAGAGAGAACTCACTGAACCATATGCCATGTTGGCCGCCGAACCGGGAACAGCTTAGTTCGAAGAGATAAATAATAAGTTCACTTAAAAGTGTGTCAAATCAGGTGCTTTTTTTGCCAGAATTGAATGTACTATCACTACAAGCTCCTGTAGTGAAAAGTAGACGCGGTGTGACTGCAAACGAGTCTATTCAGAAAGTGAACGATCAAACCAGTACACGAAAGAACCGTAGGTGGGTATGCGTTCGTCAGTAGAGTCAACTGACTACGGATCGATGAGCGTACGAAGCAAACGAGAGTGGGTGGTATAGCAAGGCAGAGAAAAAAATTCAACTTGGCAGAACGTCCGGATCGAGGCTTCCATGCATGGCGTAAAATCAATACACGCTCTACACTCCAGTAGTAGGATCACGGATAGCAATCAAGACGTCTAAATAGCTCGGGTAGCATTCAAACAAGTTTGTATGTCAGCAATATCATGCTCTGTTGAACGAGGAGAACGTGGTAGAAATAATAGATCAGTGATGTATGCGACATTTTATTGAATAAGAGAGGGAATATTTAGTCATGAACGGAGAATGGGGGCACAAGTGGTGAGGATTTGGTAAATATGTGAACGGCGCACCCGGGTCAGTTTTTTCAACACCATGGAGAACGTGGCTCAAGCTACATGACTACGATCACCCAGCCACACTTCATCATCGGGAACCATCTGCTTTGAGCGTAATTCATCCAACAAATCATATTTTCTGATCCAAGCTTTAGGGCACATTTCTGTGGTTGCATTCACTTGTACAGAAATAAATTTATCCCTCTCTGTTCATCATAGTTCTGCATTTGAAGATTCGATGTTTGAAAAGAGAGGCAAACTACGAACTTTTTGAAACGCGGTTGAATTACCATCTGTTTGATTCATACGAAACTTGATATCAATTCGCCATGGTTAGCATCCTCACCAAATCTGACCCATTGAATTGGGATGCAGTTCTTCACTCCGAGTAGCAGGACTGTGGTTACAGCTCTTCGTGTTCGTGTCACGGACGCTTGTGATTGTGGTTTCGGATATAACCCTAACTCGCCTTCAAAATTATGAAGTAAACAATGTATTTAATCACAAATGAAAAGCTACCGCTTCCCATTTTTCACCTGGTTTTTTTGTACACAGACACATTTCGAACAAGGAGTCGATGTTCATCTTATGATGCTAGCTACATAACAGAAAAAATGAAATAACGCCCACATCTCACAGCAAATCGATGACGGACAATGGAAATTCAACACACTTTTGGTCTTTATATTGATAAGTGACTCAAAAAATTTGCAGATAATATTGTGAATAATATGCTCTCACTTTGCAATACCATATCACCCTAGTTGGATAACGGAGCAGACATATATCAAAAGGACGAATCTGGAAGCTATCCAATCCATATGGCTGTGTTCCAAGTTGCGATCGAATGTGTGCAACTTTTGTTTGATCACGAAATGAACCAGCATGCTCGTCACGTGTTGGTCAATACCTTACTACCGACGGAGTATTTGACAATGAAAATCCCGGATGAACGTAAATGCAGTATATTTGTGAAATGGATCCAGCCAAAAGAGAAACGAATAAGTGAGGATTGTAGTTGTTCGAACGACGTCGCAGAAAACATGTTAACATCTCTGGTCGATTCGCAGAATTTGATAAATCTCTTTGATGGTGAAGGATTTTTTCCTATTCATATGGCAGTGAATTCCGGTAACTTGAATCTCGTTCAGGTATGAATTTCGATTAGAATGCGAAATTTCTAGTGTGTTTTGTGATTTTAAAGTGATGTTACATAAAATACTGATCAGAATCAGATACCTCTGAAATGTATGACTATTTATCATGAAGTATGTTTTGAACACTCGATTTGTTCACGATCGATGGTTCGACTATCATTTCCTGTCCTTACTTCCAGAAAAACGCACATTATACAGCCTATTATCATTGTCCTCACTGATTATCCTTTTTAGACCATGTCGTCGTTGACCTTGTTTCCCATTGGTTGTCACCTGCCCACATCCATCTGAGTCCGAAGCACTCAGAATACAAATTGACTTATACAATACGGTTGTCTGAATTGTTGTTCGTCTGTGCATTCGATTGGGAACACGGGAATCGGTGTCGCGCGAAACCAAATCCGTACTATGAACGGTGGTTGTCAAACGGTCATCATGATGAGCTTTATACCCTTTAGTCTTTTGTTTGAATCCTGCTGCCTTTAGTACTCACTTCAGTTGATAGCCTCTAG